CCATCTACTTCCGAGTCGATGTCGATTCTCCTCCGGGTAAATTCAATCTGAGAGGGTTGCTCTTGATTTTCGTTCGGAGAATTCAAGGATATCTCCCGTGAATCTCTGTATACAATCGTGGCGATTTTGTCACAGCGTGAACGATTTTCGCCCGATGTTATCGCGACACCACCTTTCCTCGAAACGCAGCGTTCCAAATCGACAGCTGAATAGTCGCGGGGACAGGTTGCGCGATATTATAATGAGTCAGTGCCATATATAACTTAATCAAAAGCCGCTCGAGCGCGTTTAGACGTTACGCTGGTAGCACATAGCCGATTCAGGATTGCTGCGCTAGGTCTGGTGCGTTTTCCTGCGGATTTTCGACTATTCTGAAAGCCAACACTCTTATCTAACCCGACGGAAATTCGAGCCAAGACTGCTGTTTCGCGCTGTGGAGCACGACGCAGATCTCGAACGAATATACATTGGCTAATAGAAATCCAAGCGTAAGAATTCCAAGGAAAGACCTCGACGAGACGCTACTCTAATCCTCCAAAGTTACTGCTAACTGTACCAATAAATAATCCACAATGTTTTCCCCGATAAAACAACTCTACGAGACAGCGAATACGTTCTATTTTCTGATCGACACACCCAATAATTTATGCACATTTTCACAAACTTCACATCGTTCGTTCACCTATCCGGAAAAAGGCATTCTTCCTGATCTGATATCAATCGAGCATGCGACACGCGCGAAAAACCATCGAGAACTAACCACCCTGTCGAATTTCCGCTTCCTCGAGATGCCTCCTGCGTCGCGTGGGTGTCGCGCGTGCATCGATCTCGCACGATCACACGCGCGATCGAGCGAAGTTAGAGGCACAGCAGCACGCGTGCCGGCCGCCACACGGCGTTCTGGCACGAAAACAAAACGTTCTAAAATTACCGACGACTCTCGGGAAGGCGGTGGGCGCGGACTATTCGCGGCGCGACTCGACGCGATTTTGCGCGGGCGACCGCCTCTATTTCGGGCCGCCACGCAACCACCTGAG